AGTGCACGTGCTCATCTGCAGTACCGTAAAAGTTACATTGTAATTTCACTTAAAGAGAGAATTTTTTTTTTTTTAGGTTTAATGGATGATGATTTGAGGGTAATTGGGCTAGTTGCTGATTGCACACTCTTTTATACACACTACATTCATATTGAATGACTTGTTTCGGTTTCAGAGTCTAATGATTAGTTTAGGGGATGTACTTTCTTATTATATTATTTATTCCCTGTTTGGTCCCATTTCTTAAAATTCATTTTATCAAACTTTTGAATTATACATTTTACCGTCTTTTATCAAAATCTACTAAAATTCTAATTTTTATCCAAACCGAATAGGGGCTTAATAAACTTGTGTGATGATTTTTTTTCATCAAATAATACCCTTGGGAATTTTTTGGGTCGTAAAAAGTAATAAATTGATACAAATATAGTTTCAAAAAGCATCTACACTGCTGCAGAACCTATAACCAAGTCATTAAATTGTGGATGGAGTAGTTGTGTGAAATGAGATGCAAATATGGTTTCTAAAAGCATCCATATGACTGTAGAACCTATAGCCAAATAATTCAGTTGTGGATGAGTGTGTGTGTGAAATGAGATGCATTTTTATTCCAACCAACCATTGATTCATTATATACAAATATCTTCCTTCTTCACTTAAATATCATAATTAGAAATGCAGTCTTTTTCTGAATTAAAAATGAGCTTGTATGTCCATGTACCTTTTCAATCATAAGTTATATGTTTCTTCCATTGAAGAATCTGCTGTTAACCAAAATTATCGCTAAGCTGTTAAAAAATATTTTTCTCACTTCCATAAAATACTTCAGTCTTCGGCAGTCACAGTAATGCACATTTTAATATTAAGACAGACGACCGAGAAAGAAAGGCTCCGTGTTCTCCAAGTAGTTGATCTTACCTTAGCTGCCGTCTCCGGGACTTTCCCTTTTTCGGGCTGCTCGACAAGAAAAATGCTATCCTTACCAGCAGATTTGGTGCCTGTAGGTTGCGTGGTTTCTTTTACGCTTTAGCACACAAATGTTGAGAGGTAAATCAGTATTCAACACTATAGTGTAGGTGGACATTTATTCTGAGATTATTCAGCTCGTACAATATTATCCAGATAGGTGCTTAAGTATTGCTGTGAGAAAATATGCGACAAAGTACCATTAACCTTCCAGAAAGCATGAAATGGAACCAAACGAAAAGACCCCTGCACAAACCAAAAGAACCGAAGAGTGATATATACTGGGATACTAATTTCATAATGAGGACAATTTGGTTGACACATATAGCTCTAGATTTTCTTTGAAAACAATCAATGTTACTCTTGTCCAAGTGTTGACTTGATGTACTATTTCGTGTCAATATTCAGATCATCAAATACTATCTTATATACCTGAAAACATTTAGATTTTCTCACTGTTTATAAGACATTTGAATGGATAAAATTAAGTGAATCCTTCTAGATTATTCTTGGGCAATCTTGTGCAGAAAGTCTTTTACGGTAGTTATAAAATTCTAATACGACATTTTTGTGCCTGATAGCAAGCTTGACAGTTATTGAGTTGTAGATATGCTTATAGGAATTGGGTTTTAATGCTCAGACTCTTCGAAATGGTCAGATCATCCTTGTGGGACACGACGCGACTTGAGTATGGATATGAGATATTTGTGGGATCCTCCAAATTTCAATTGGACACTTCGCTTTTTTTACTTCTTTTTTTTACTTTTCCTTTTTTTTTTCCTCCGTTTCTACTTTCCATAAACCTAGTGTCGGCTCCGAGAGGATGGAGAAAGCGATGGCGCTAAATTTTCCCTTCTTCTTTCTTTCCCTTTTCCTTTTTTTCCTTTCTTTTTCTCTCTGTATCGATGGTTTAAAGTTTTGTTTATATAAAATAGATTCCATATAATGCTACTTAGTGTTACACTAAGTTTAAATTGTAATCAAGTCTCTCGTTTGTATTTAGGGATGTCAAACGGGACGAGCGACTTGTCGGCTCGGCCGCTCGGCTCGTTAAAACTCGGCTTGTAGGCGGCTCAGGCTCGATCCCACGAGACGAGCCCACAAGCGGCTTGTGGGCCCATTTTGACCAGCCCACGAGCTCATCCAAAAATATGAAAATAAAAAAAAAGGTTCAAAAAATGTGCAAAAAAAAAAAAAAAAAAAAAACACCGATAGAGTAACTCCGCGCATCACAGAGCAATTTTGCTCCTGGCTCCTACATCACGGAGCAAATGCATGGAGTTGCTTCGTCAGACATTTATTTTATTTTATTTTTTTGAGATGATGAAAAAAGAAAAAAAAAAAAAAGGTTCAAAAAATGTGCAAAAAAAAAAAAAAAACACGAGCTCGCGAACGGCTCGTTCCATTGCCATCACTATTTGTATTTTATATAATATTTAGTAATTAACTTCTCATAATTGAAAACTAAACTCCAAAAAAGACTTATAATATTTAGAAAATAAGTCAAGCGTGTAAATAGCCTTCTTCTTTTCTTTTTTTTTCCCCCGAGAAAACCTTGCCTGGCGTGTGGGTGAGTTTGACTAAAATCAAAGATTCTTCTTTTGCTGCAAAGATGTATCTTGTGAAATTGAACAGATTCGACGCGTAGATTATCTTACAAGCATAAGCATACACTCTTCTTAATAATTGTGTGAAAGTTTATATGTAAAAGGTGCATTAAGTTTTTGGCAATGTTATATATAAGCTGGTGTTTCTCATTTTCTGCGATTCATGCATAGTTATTTTTCATGATTGAAAGTTACCCTTTTGAATTGTTGGTCCTTCGTTTTACTTGGAAGCAAATTTAGTAGCTTTGGAAAGGCAGTTTTGGCAATAATTCTCGCGTCTTCCTAATTGAAAAGGGCAGCAATTTGGTATGATCATTATCATGGGCGGACGAATTTTAAGGTTAAGTTTTTTGGCACAGGTTTACAATAAATTAACACGCTCTTTTATTTTATTTTATTTTGTAACCATAACATTCTTTTTTTTTTTTTCTCTATATTTTGTATAAAGAGGGGAAGTATTAGCTGTGATAAAACTTAAATATTATTTTTTATTTGATACTTGGGAATTTGGAGGGACAGAATATGATACAATTTTTCATATAATGGATATTTTGGTTAAATCTTTGGGTTGTTATCTCTATATTTTATTTTTATTTTTATCTTGTTATATTGAATGTTGTTTGGAGTGTAGAGTATAGGGAAGATATATAGAGCGTCAAATATTATGTGGATCAATTCGGCTTGTTACAAATGCAAGTAAAGAATGTTTTGGTTCAATTTGTTTTACGTGAGAATTTAGAAAGAATATGTACAATATGGTCACGTCAAGAATAACTGTACAAAATGTCAGGTATGAACAGTGCCGAAAATCGTGTTTCTCTCTTCAAGAGAGACCATGATATCAAGAAGGGATGGCATCCTTGTGGAATGCTTCTAGTTGACATAATAAAAGATATGTTATTGCTAATAAATTCACATGTTTGCAAATGAGCCGATTTAAATTCTTAAAACATTTAAATTTTAGGTGACGAATTGAGGAATTATCGATGAAGAGACGCAAAAATATGACAGTTTTGGCTCATTTTTTGTGAAGGTGGGTACTGTTGAAAATTTCCCGTAAAAGTGCCAGTAGTAAAATGGCCTCAGTTGCAAATAGAAGCAACATTTGTATTTTGTAGCTTTGGAAAGACAATTTTGGCATCAGTTCTTGATTCGCTGAATTGAAAAGGAAGGAATTTGGTATGATGGGCAGACCAACTTTTGGGTCGAGCTTGGTGCTCTTTCATCTCTTTACACGTACATGATAAAAAAGGTTTATTTAGAGGAAAACTTACGTAGTGTTTGATTGAATCATTTTCCATGGAAAATGGAATAAGTGTTCCACCTTTTACTCAATTAATGACGTTTGATATCATTTATTTTTCATAGAATTGGTTTTCTTGCTTTTGTTGCCACATAGATATTTTCCATCTAATTGAGGATTTTCCCGGTTATTGTAGCAATTTTTAATTTTTTTTTTTTAAATTTTGGTTGGCAATGGAAACAAATTCTAAGAATTATTGTTAAAAAAAAATCCCTTTAATTGATAATTTCCATGTAAAACAAAATCATGTAAATCGATGATTTTCTTGGGTTTTTTGTTTTTTTGGCAATGGAAATAAATTCTATCCTCAATACCAGTAAATTTTATCCCTTTAATTGACAATTTTCATGTAAAACAAAATCAAACGAACACCAAAAAATACTTTTATTTTAACATTTTTCACGTGAAAAATTATACCAATCAAACACAATAAATTGACAATTCCCAGGAAAACAATTTCTAGACAATTCAATTCCTTGAAATTCATTTTTTTTTCACTCAAATTCCATCTTTGTAATCTAACAGACCCTTAGTGTTTTTTTACACTCAACTGATTATCTATCAATCATTTGTAACTTCTTAACATAGATTTCTTGGGCTTCTTTTTGTCACAATGTCTAGCGAGCATGTAAATCTAAACTCACCGAGAGGATTTATTTTTGTATCTACACCTCTGCCTCAAATGCGATTGAATTTGAAGGATTTGCTTTGGTGACAGGATGAGTCTAGGCGTCTAGCCAAGTAGCGTGCTTTTCTTGAGAAACTCCCAATTATACTGAATTCGTAAGCACCATTGTTCTGTACAAATTGTGGTCGAACAATGAATTCTTATCTTTCACATGTTCAGTTGTGAGCCAAACAAATATTGGAGAATAGTTAGAACAGCAAGGTTTATTTTGCTAATTTAGAAGAAAAGGAGAACTATTCATGAGAAACATCTTTAGGCTATCTTAAAGTGTGTTAACTTTAACTGAAAACTTTGTCCCCATTCTGAAATCAACAGACCAAAATAGAAATTTGAACTTTTTTTTTTTTTTTTGGGGACATTTGACCCTCCAGTTTTTTTTTTTTTTTTTTTTTTTTTGGGCCCCCGGGGGGGGGGGGGGGGGGGTGTTCAAGAAACCGTATGGCTTTCTGATGATGATAATTCAGTTCATTTAACAGCAACATACAGTGCTAAACATGTTTCCTTAGTTGAAAATTTGGACCCCACTTTAACCTTTATTCACAATAGCCCTCTTTAAATTCTCCCCACCCTGCTCCTGTTCATTCAGTCATCAGTTATTATTTACCACCACCACCACCCCCAGGACCTCTGGCTGCCGGCCACCACCTCAAGCTTAGTAAAAGAGTTTCTTTTAATCTTTCCCTGGCTGCAAAGGAAAAATATGGGATTCTTAAAGTGTGTACTAGGTGTATTTCTCGTTGTTTCTATGTTGTTGTCTGTTCATGGTGATCCTTTAGTTCCTGCATTGTGCATTTTTGGAGATTCTGTTGTTGATGTGGGAAACAATAATAATTTGCAAACACTTGTAAAGGCCAACTTCCTTCCTTATGGAAGAGACTTTCTTACTCATAAACCTACAGGAAGGTTTTGTAATGGAAAGCTTGCCACAGATTTCACTGGTATATGTGGTTTTCTCTTAACAATTTTTTTCATCTAATTGTTTTTCTCTCCACTCTCATGCATGTATTTTCATGTATATTCACAGCTGAGTACCTTGGATTCACTTCATATCCACCTGCTTATCTTAGCCAAGAAGCCAAAGGAAGGAACATCCTCACTGGTGTCAACTTTGCTTCAGCTGCTTCTGGTTATTATGACATTACTGCACAGCTTTATGTAAGCACATGATACATATCTCTTGTCCACAGTGAGCAAGATAACAATTGGCCATCGTTGACGTGATGTCATCGATCAAGCCATAGTTTTTTTAATATTCAAAAGAAAAAAAGTTTTGACCTGCTACGTCAACGGGTGGGCATTATAACTCCTGCCCACTGTGGATTGGAGATCATTTCTACATGATAATTACATGTATGCACATATAAATATGTGTACGTGTTCTTTAACATGGTTTTGAATTTGCAGAGGGCTGTGACATTAACACAGCAGCTTTCATATTACAAGGAGTGGCAAAGCAAAGTGGTGAGTTTGGTGGGGAAGGCCAAAGCTAATGATATATTCTCAGGAGGAATCCACCTTATAAGTGCAGGAAGCAGTGATTTTATCCAGAATTATTACATCAATCCAATGCTTAACAGACTCTACTCACCAGATCAGTTTTCAGACATCCTCCTTAAATCCTACTATAACCTTGTACAGGTAATATAGCTTATAGATTCGGTGCTTCTACGTAGTTTTAGAGCTAGTCTCACCGTCTTTGGTGGAAAACTGAATCCAGCCTACACAAGGGCGTGTTGAAGACTGACTTCAAATAAATATTATGTCGCATATTTAATGGTTTAAGCTTTTAGATGAAGTAATTTTATCGGTTTTCTTTTCTATTCAATTTTTTTGTTTTTTTTTTTTTTTTTACAGGATCTATATGATCTGGGGGTAAGGAGAATTGGAGTTACAACTCTACCACCAACTGGATGTTTGCCAGCCGCCATTACTCTATTTGGTTCAGGAAGCAACCAGTGTGTTCAAAGATTGAACCATGATGCTGTTTCATTCAACAACAAACTCAACTGCACATCCATAAATTTGAAGAGCAAACTTCCTGGGCTCAAACTTGTGGTCTTTGACATTTACAATCCTCTGTTGGAGCTCATTACAAAGCCCACTGATTATGGTATTAAGTTCAAATAAATATACAAGTTCGTTCTCTAATGGTTTTAAGCGGTGCTGGTTTCAAATTTCACTGCCACCAATTCTTGAAAATTTTCGACTCTCTAATAGCTCGAGCTTTTGTTCAGGATTCTTTGAATCAAGGAAGGCTTGTTGTGGGACTGGTACAATCGAGACATCATTTCTGTGCAATGCAGGGTCTGTTGGAACATGCAAAAATGCTACAGAGTATGTGTTCTGGGATGGATTCCACCCATGTGAATCTGCTAATGAAAAGATTGCCCAAAGTTTGCTGGAACAGGGATTTGATCTCATCTCTTAAAGCCACCCATAGTTGCTTCGATAGCCTGTGTTCTCCAGTTTAATGATATCTTATATATTACATGTTTTATAGGGCTTTACAAAAGTTTTTGTTTCCTAAATTTGGTTAAAGTATCATGTTTGAGACAATTTTAAGATTGAAAAATAGGACCTGCAGGTTGAGCTATCCTATGTAAGAAACTGGTCCTATCTTTGGATTGATAGTAAAATAAAATTACAAGCGAGTTATTTTTTTAATGTAGTTATTCACGTTTTTTTAGATTATTATACCATTATCGTGATTATAGATATATCGAGTTTGGTGATTTTTGATACTTTTCAAAAACACGATATAAATGTGTGCAGTGGAGTGCGTAACACTGTACACCGACCCAAGGTTAATGAAATAAATTATGGAAAGTAACAATTTATGACGATTATTTGTTAAAATACCACACGAATTTGGCATGACCAGTTTTTGACCAGGCAGCTCATGTTGAATTAAATAATTTAGCAGGACAAAATTTATTGAAAAAAAAATTAAAATTAAACCTAAAACTCAAAAAAGCCATTGAGCTCATTTTTTTTATTTTAAATAAAATAAAGAAAAGACTCTGGGTTATACCAGCCCAACCCGAGCAAAACCATGTTTAGCAGTTGAGTATAATAGTCAATTCTATCCCAATATATGCTTTGGCGCTTTTCACTTTCATGGCGGCCTTTATCCACCAGTACCACCATACCGCCACCACCCTCTCTTCCTCCTCTCAACTCCAATCCCTTCACCAGGTTCCAAACTCCGTTGCTGTACTACCACCCCAAGTGTCCGCTTATCTTTCTATCTCTAAACCCCCTACTTCTCTTTCTGCTTCCAAAAGCCCACTCTCCTCAAACCCGCCAGTTTTACCCTCCAAGCTTACATCTTTTCAACATATTTTCACTCCGAAGCCACTTGATACCTCTCAAACATCATCGAACCATGATTTTCCTCATTTACTGAGATTATCTGTCTACTACAGTGATGTTCAATTTCACAAAATGGTCCATGCCTCAATTCTCAAGATTGAGGAAGATATTTACTTATTCAATGCTCTCATTGCATCTTATCTCAAATTGGATCAAATAAATTATGCTCATAATGTTTTTAGAACCCTTTCTAGCCCAGATGTTGTGTCCTACGCCGCAATGATTTCTGGTCTTGCCAAATTGAATCATGAAAACGAAGCTGTAAGACTATTTTTTGAGATGAGAAGCTCAGGTATTGAACCAAATGGGTATACTTTTGTTGCTTTATTAACTGCTTGTATGCGTTCGTTGGATTTAGAGTTGGGTTTCCAGGTCCACGCCTTCTTGATTAAAACGGGTTATTTGGATTGCACTTATGTTGTCAATGCGCTGATGGGATTGTACAGTATATGCGGTTATTTTGATTTTGTTATCGAATTGTTTGATGATATGCCTAAAAGGGACGTTGTATCTTGGAATACTGTGATTTCTTGCATGGTTAATGAACGTATGTATGATAAAGCATTTGAACTTTTTCGCATTATGTTGAGACGAGAAGATTTTAGAGTGGATTCTTTTACACTTTCGAGTCTCTTGGCTGCTTGTGCGGGATGTCTTGCAATGGGGGAAAGCCGTGAAATTCATTCCTATGCTTATAAAATTGGGTACGAGAGCAATATGAGTGTGAATAATGCACTAATTGAGTTCTACTCCAAATGTGGGAGTTTGAAAAATGCTGTGACTTTGTTTGAGAGGATGCCTGTGAGAGATATTTTCACGTGGACTGAAATGATTACAGCGTACATGGGATGTGGACATGTTGATTTGGCTGTAAATATCTTTGAAAGAATGCCCGAGAAGAATTGTGTCTCCTACAATGCTCTTCTTGCGGGATTTTGTCGAAATGACGAGGGCTTCAGGGCTTTGGGATTGTTTTGTAGAATGGTGGAGGAGGGCATAGAGTTAAGCGATTTCACCTTGACTAGTGTTGTAAATGCTTGTGGATTAATTATGGATTGCAAGATCAGTGAACAGGTTCATGGGTTTGTGCTCAAATCATATTTTGATTTAGATGATTGTACTGAATCGGCGTTGCTTGACATGTGCACCAGGTGTGGTCGGATGGATGATGCTGAAAAGATATTCGATCAGTTGCCACTGAACCAGAACAATTCAATTAATTATACATCATTGATTTGTGGATATGCTCGAAATGCTCAACCAGAAAAAGCAATTTCTTTAGTCTGCCAGTGGCAAAACAAAGAGTATAATTGTATGGACAAAGTTGCATTAGCTTCGATACTTGGTATATGTGGAGCAATGGGGCTTCAGAAATTTGGTGAACAATTTCATTGTTATGCTTTAAAACATGATTTCCTGTCTGATATAGGTGTTGGGAATGCCATAATTAGCATGTACTTTAAGTGTGATGACGTGGAAAAAGCAATTAAGGGCTTCAATATTATGCCTGCACACGACACAGTTTCATGGAACAGTTTGTTGGCTGGACATATCCTTCATAGGAAAGGGGAAGAAGCCTTGGCTGTGTGGAGGAAGATGCAGAAGGCAGGAGTACAGCCGGATACCATTACATGTGTCTTAATAATTTCAGCTTATCGACACACTAACTCAAACTTAGTTTCTCATTGTCGTGATTTTTTTCTCTCAATGAAGTCCATTTACTGTGTCGAACCCAATTCAGAACATTACGCTTGTATGGTTGGTGTTTTAGGTTATTGGGGTCTTCTTGAAGAAGCAGAGAATATAATTAACAAGATGCCATTTCAGCCAAATGCTTCTGTTTGGCGAGCGTTGCTTGATAGTTGTAGATTACATCTGAATGCAACAATTGGGAAAAGGGCTGCTAAGAAAATATTGGCAATGGAGCCACAAGATCCATCCACATATATACTAAAATCAAATCTTTTTTCTGCATCTGGTAGGTGGCACTGCTCAGACCTTGTTCGTGAAGACATGAGGGAAAAAGGGTTTCAAAAAATCCCGGGCCGGAGTTGGATCTTTCATGACAATGAGGTTCATTCTTTCTTTGCTCGGGATAGATCACATTCACAATCTAAAGACATTTACAGTGCACTGGGGATACTATTCTTTGAATGCTCGAAAGCTGGTTATGTACCTGATACAAGCTTTGTACTCCATGAGGTAGAGGAGCATCACAAAAAGAATTTTTTGCTGTACCATAGCGGAAAACTAGCTGCCACCTTTGGGCTTCTAACAACCCTGCCGGGAAAACCTGTTCGGGTCATGAAAAACATCCTTCTTTGTGGAGACTGCCATACATTCTTGAAGTATGTTTCAACTGTTACTAAAAGGCCGATACATGTAAGAGATCCTTCAGGTTTTCACTATTTTTCTAATGGTATATGCTCATGCAAAGATTACTGGTGACACAAAATTTTGGTTTAATTAATCACAATTTGGATATTTAGGGTGTTTTCAGTTTATTCTTTTACCTTTGGTGTTAATAGTCCAAATATCTGAAGCTATTAGAACAACTTGCAAATGTTTTTAACTTTAAACTGCTGATGAAATGTTCAGTTATACTTGTTAAAGAAACATAATAAATCACTCAAAATCTTGCTTTTCTATTAGTAATATTCATATTGTAGAAGTGTAAATAGCCAACAATCATGAATTAGCGAAGAATAATTGTTTTCAATGCGTAAACCTACTAGACAAAGGGTTTAAAGATCTTAAAGAAGATCTAAAATTAAACAAATCCTTGTGCCAAACTAACATATAATTCACCTAAAGCTAAAACAAATAAACTGATAGTTCCTAACAAACAGCTTCAACAGCTAGCCTTTTCCTTTTCACTGAGGATCTGCAGCCACTAGGTCCAAAAGTCTGTTCAGATACATCAATTGAGCAACTTTCTTTGCCAACACATGCCTGCAAATTGTATATAAAAATGAGAGAAATGGATAGGAAAAATTAAAGTTAAAATGAATACATAAATAGGAGAAAATCCAAGTAACTTACTTTTTTCACCATTGATAAGCTTTTGGGAGAATGGCAGCTTCCTTTCCTAAGAGTTCCATAAACTTTTCTCGGATCTCCGAAGCTAGCAAATTTGATATCGGATATAACTCGACCACCGTTACATGACAAGTTCAAGCTATTCCCTTCATAAGCATGGGCAATAGCTTGGCCAACTGTAACAGTATGAACGCTTACATTCCTAGGATCCCCCCCGAACTCTTCAAAAAGAACCAAATCATTCTCTTCTTCACGTAAGAAGGAACGTGGGACATGGTACCTGTAAAACACGTGCGTTTAGTAATAAAAGTAAGATTTAAGTGACAAGAAGAAGATAATAGAAAATCACATACCATCTTTGTGTAGGTTGTCCACAGCCAGTCGTACATTTACTACTGTAATATGATCCGCGATAGTCACAGGACGTAGAACAGCCATTATTATCAGCAATAATGCTTGGCCAATATCGGCCGATATTATGTCCATTTACCCAGGCAGTTCCTTTTCCCAGTCCCCACAAGTCTAGAACAACTGGTTCTTCACCCCTTGGAGTTCTGAAGGTTGTCTACAACAAATTTCGGTTTCAATTAGTGATGTATACTTTTCTGGATGAAAACCGTTAGCATACAATACATAGTATCTAGTGATCAAATACCTGGAACCAAACAAACCTCCTGTTGAGGGGAATATTAGGATGCCACTTTCTTTTCTTCCCATTTTCACTGAAAAGTTCTTGTTCAAAACCATTCAATCCTACCTTGTAGACCCATTTATTGTTCGTTAGGTCTTTCTCTCGACTGTTTGGTGCAATAATTTTAACCGGACCAAGAATTCCATTTTGTGTATTGTCATAATGGTCACCATAATTCTGTTCATAACAGAAAGAAGTTACAGCAGAATGTAAGACGGACTTTAAGAACAATTAGTACTATTCTTACTTGCAGTCCAACTGTGACACTGAGCAAAGAAATTTGGTTTATCCCCTTCTTTATCTTAGCAGCTCTCTCAAACCAAAAACTGTAACTCCCACCCTGTGCATATTTAGTTCCTGATATCGCAGGTCGTGTTATTTTTGGCAACAGAAAATGAGCAGAATTACGGGCATAAATAAGCAAGAATTACCTATATGCTTGCCATTGACAAATGCATGAAGAATATGGCCGCTGTTCTGAACTTGTAGATTGATATCTTCGCAACAGACAGGATCATCTTCATCAATCTCAAAACTATATGAA